CACCAATCCGCCCCGAACTGTCACAGTGGCGGATGGCGAGTCGTGCAAAAAACTAGGCCCGAAGGAAGAAAGTGGCAAGAGCGGGAGCGAGTGCCATGGACGGAGGAGGTCGTCAGAGGATTTCTGGCAATTTCTGCCCTCTGCGGGAAGACTGGGAGGAGACAAGGTGGGCAGAGGCCAGTTCGCAACATAGTGCAGGTCCTTGCAAAGGCCTCCACGTTCCATTCTTGGACTGAGTTCGTTCTAAGACTGAGTCTTTGCAGCAGCCATAGCCACCCGTACGCCATTGCCGTTCATCCGCCATAGCCATAGCCATAGTCATCCAGCTTAACGATCTGAGCTTCCCTGTAATAGCAGCTCCTCCGGAATTGCCTGCGGGTCGGTTCTGATCGAAGGGCGGGATAGCCGGGATGTACAAGGTAGGGCAACAATACCTAGTCTATCGTCTTCAGTCGATCTGTTGTCAGTCCATCTAATATCTTTTATGCGTGTCATCCTTGTGCAGGGGCCATGCTAATCTGCTTTCCCTGTATCATTCCAATTTTAATGGATGCCCCGGAAGACAGTCGATCTATCTTCAGTCCATTGGTCCTCACACTGGAGAGAGGGCACGAGTATAATATGACAATTCGCAGAGTAAAGAAGGCTGTTTTGGAGCCAGATCCGCAGAATCAGAGCTTGAAGGGTTGGTAGGGGAGGGGGGAGGGGGTAGGGGGACCCGGGTTGGGGGGGATGGGGGAGAAGCGAGTGCGATGTGAGCTGTAGGTGGTGGTGGTAGAAGTTCCCGATAACGGTTTTTCGTTTTCTTTTGGTTTATGTTTTTTTTTTTTTTCCCCTTTTTTCAAAACGTTTATTCTTTTTTCTTCTTCTTCTTTTTCTTTCCCTTTCCCTTTTTTCTTTTTCTGGCGCTAACAAATCCCCTCATTCTCTTTTTACCTAATAACTATCCATAGCACTCCAGCACACACAGGTTAACCCATCTTGGCTCGGAGCCCAAAGAGGGTTTTCTGGCGAGCCATATCTACTATCTAGTCTCCATCAAGTGAACACCTTTCGTTTTTCTCTCCTTTCCCCCCCCTTTGATTTCTCTGTCCCCTCTCCCCCCCCTCCCCCCCCTCTCATATTAAAAGCAATTCGAATGGAGGCCAGGAGGGACCTCACAATTCAACCCCCGGAGTTATCCTGGCAGTCTTTAGCCAATTTCTCTTATTCAGTTTCGTCAATGAAAAGTTCCTGTCTACTAAAATCAAATTCTGCCTTAAATTCCCTTAATAAGATTACGCAGACATAAAAAAGAAAAAAAGAAAAAAGAAAAAAGTAAAAAAAAGGATTACTCAGACGTAACTCCCTCGGTTTCGTTTGATTTCCCTCCGTCGCTTTGTTGGTGCTCTCTTTCTTTCTTTCTTTCTTTCTTTTGTTTTCCTCTCTGAATTTGGCTATTGGTTGTTTGTTGGTGCTCTTCCCTGTCATCCTCCCTACGTGTTCAATGCCATGTCTTCCTTTACGAAAGGCGGAGAACCAGCCGCTCTCGGCAAGTGGGAGACGTACCCATAACTTCTGATGTCCAATCCGCACCCCAAGGCGCTCTGTTTTTGTGATGTACCTCT